GTTGGCATGCATCTCTTAGTGAGAGTTCTGTACACATTTTCAAAATTTCAAAATTTTCGAAAAATCAAAAAACGCTGGAAATTATCTGAAACGCGCACCTAACTACATTTTTTTGAAATTTTTGGAAAAAATTTTAAAGTGGAATTTTTCAAAAATTATTGGTTTTGTGCGCTTTTTGGATAATTTCCAGCGTTTTTTGATTTTTCGAAAATTTTGAAAATTTTTCAAAATTTCTTCCAAATTTCACCCACCTGATGCCATGCAGGACAAATCGCCGTCGGACTGTGTCTGAAGTACTGTCTCTGACGAACGCGGTGTGTGCCTCACACGGTCTCTTACGTGCCGTCTTCTGTAAGCCGAGGTGCGGGATGCAACACGTAAGGCAAATACCGAGACGGGCAGGGACATGGTCGGCCACACGTCGAGCCTTGCATAGGACGGTTGTGCAGAAACCGAGGCAGTCAGCATTCGGGAAGGTTCGAGGCGAGTCCGGCAGAGACAGGGTGAGGCATCCGCCGAGGTTGGCATGCATCTCTTGGTGAGAGTTCTGAAAATATTTCCAAATTTCAAAATAGATGCATGCATGCCTACCTCGGCGAATGCCTCACCCTGTCTCTGCCGGACTCGGCCTCAATCCTTTCCGATTGCTGACTGCCTCGAAAAATGAAAAAACGCTGGAAATTGTCCAAAAAGCGCTAAAAACCCAAAAATTTTGAACATTTTTTCATTCTTTTTTTTTGAAAAATTTCGAAGACTTTTGTTTTTTTGCGATTTTCAGATAATTTCCAGCATTTTTTTATTTTTTAAAAAATTCATTGCCAGATCAATTACAAGACGCGGCCTCTGTCAAACCCGATCTAAAGTAGGCACGCTCAGTCTCACCCGATCTGTTTCACGCGGTCTCCGCCAGACTCCGTATGTCTCATAGGTTACGTTAGTTTAGGTGATGTTAGATTAGGTAAGGTTGGGTTAGGTTAGATTGGGTTAAGTAAGGTTAGGTTAGGTAAGTTTAGGTGGTTAGGTTAGATTGGGTTAATTAAGGTTAGGTTAGTTTAGGTGATGTTAGGTTGGGTTAAGTAAGGTTAGGTTTGGGTTACCTGGTGAATCACACGCCGTGTCAGAACGTGTCTGCGACGCACACTGTGTATGACGGACGCGTTCTCTGTCGGACTCGGTATCTGCGCGAACGGGTCTCTCTAACCCCCGATATGTGCCTGGCCGTCTGTGCGAAGACCTGGTTCGACAGAGATCGGTTGAGGCACAGATCGAAGCAAAACAGTGACAAGTGTGAGACCGACAGAGCCAAGCAAACACCGGCTGAGTCAAAGTAAATGGCAAGCGGAGACCCGGTTAAACAGAGACCGAGTCAAGCAGATAACGGGTGAAGCTCACACCGCATGAAAGCGAGACCGGTGACGCACACGCAGAGTCCTGGTGAATCAGAGACCGAGTAAAGCTGAGACCTGGTGAATCACACGCCGTGTAAAGCAGGCAAAGATGGCATCCGGATGACACTTGGTGGAATTAGACAGTGGCAGAGACCGGGTCCGGTAGAAACTCGTTCTGATATGGATATTTTCAAATTTAGAAAAAATATTTTCAAATTTTGCAAAATTTTCGAAAAATCAGAAAATTCTGCAAATCTTCTGAAAAGCGCACAAAACCAAACATTTCCGAAAATTTCGAAAGAATTTACAGATTGAAATTTTTCAAAATTGTTTTAGTTTTGTGCGCGTTTTGGACATTTTCGTTCATTTTTCGAAAATTTTTGTATTTCTTATCAAAATTCACCCCACACGATCCTTGCCAGAATGGGTCTATGCATGAACCGGTCTGTGATGCACACTGATTTTCCCTACCTGATCCCTACCACAAATGGTCCGCCTGACTCGTCTGTCTCACTCAGTCACTGGCGGACAAGGTGTGCCGCACACACACACACAAACAAACAAAAATAAATAAACTGAGGGATTTTAATTTTGAAACTTTATGTAACACTATATATGTATATTACCATTTATACTTTTTAGTTTACTGAACTATTTCACAGAAGTGAGTGCAATAATGAGTCACAAAACATGATGGACTCATGCTAATTCTTGTAAATTATTCACTCCCTTTCAATATGATAGTTACAAAGAACTTATTCCAGCAATAAAACATAGATAGAGTACACATCAATCTGAACTTTGTTGTTAAGAACATGATTGATGATGTTTATACCACAATATCTATGTGTCAATACATGATGGAATATGTTCAATGCACATAATTATTACACAGGAAAGATTCATCTCACAGGAACAATAGCAAGAACACATTTCACAGTAAAATACAAAAACTGTAACCCTGAACAAGATTCAACACAATTGTACATATATTTTTAGCTTCACTTTAATGAACAGTTATATGAAAAATTAAATTTTAATTATATCAACTGACATGTAAAAGTCTGAATGTAAATGGATTTCATAATGTGCTATAACCATTTTATACCATTTTCAATACATAAATGAGTAAACTAGATATAAGTATAAAGTAAAACTTGATGACAACTTGAACACAATCTAATAGCCAACAAAACTATAATAATACCAACAAGCAGATAAGTGATGTAAAAATTAAATGAATGCATACAACTGAATAAATTTGACCTTGAAGACTTTTTTTTGTACCAAATGATGTGTGGTTACACAGTGACTGTACATCAATGATAAGGAATAAGTTATTAGACAGACTAGTTCAGTAACTCTTAGTCAGTCACTTTTTCTGTTCTGAAGAAAATATAATTTTTCTCAGAGTATGTCAGTTCTCTGGCCACTGAATATCATCTTTATTGGCTGAAAGAAGATGAGTGTGGACAATATTCTGCAGAGTATGCCTTGCTTTAGTTTCTTCTTCCAGCTGTGAAGACAGAAGGGATATACTGGATTGCAGCTCCTTTACTTGGTCTTTCAATGCATACACAGTGTCCACCAAGCTCCTGTCCCAACAGTCACACCATCAATACATCACATTGTATACAATCTTAAGACACTTCATATCATGCAGTAGCATATAACATTAAAACTAACCAGCTGTTTTGATTGCTGTACTAGCATTTATTTACAAGATATTTTCAACCCCATGAGGCTATCCTAAGTGGTTCCATATTCAGTTTAAACTTACATAATAATAAAATATATAGACATGAAATTGTAAAATGTCAGGACTAAGTCATATTTCCATTAAAAATCACAATTAAATATTTAATACATTTTAGATAAAATACTGTGTATGTAGTATATGTATGTCAGCACTTAAAATTTCAGTTATTTGGGACTCTTGATTATGAATAAATAAATTTAATACAAAATTGTTTCTCTAAACATTAAGTAATCTAAAGTTGCACTGCTAAAGACCCTACAAAAATAACAATTAACCAAAATAAAGGAGATTTTGTATACTATAATACATCAATCCTATATTATAATAATAATAAAATCTAAACATTTTTCAATTTCTGGCATAATACCAGGGGAAACGTGCTGTGACAAAATACTTTATGATTCATTTTTAAATTCATATCCAAAGCATTTACTGTCAGAATAAAAACTTGACATTTTCCCCATGGCTTTTGAGATGATTTTTGCAATTTCACATACAGTAGATTCCAGTTAATTGGGCCATTGGTTAATTGGGACAGCCATTTACTTGGGACAAATTTTAAAGAACAAACCTTTTTAACTCTTTACGTGGAACTTTGTATAATTGGGGCAGCCGCTTAATTGGGCCAAAGTGTTCTAATCCTGATGTGTCCCAATTAACCAGAATTCACTGTAATGCGTTAAGCTAACACTGATGAATGACATTATCTTTCTTAACCTAAATAAATTCTTGTGTTGCAGTGAGAACTATACATAAATACATACTTTTCTTCTACAATTGTTTGATTTCCTGAGGTCTCCTCAATTATAATCTTTTCCTCCTCTGCAATAAGCATTTGAGGGCTGTCCAGAAGAGCAGCTGAAATTAAACACATGACAAGCTGTCAGTTTATACATAAATGTCAAAGTATAACAGAAATAAGATACTGAATATATTCCACATTCCTAGATGTGAAAGGTTATTTATTAAGAATAATATTCCACTTTGCAGTTTTAACAAATCAGTTAATAAAGAATGTTAATTTTGTTATACAGTGAATTGGTATTAAATGTTGCTAATTTAAATTACTCAAGTCTAAACTGACCACAAAGAAATTTTCTCAGTTCATGTGCCATGATTCTTCTTTATTATAATTAATAATTTAAGCAACTAAAATTACAATTCTATACTTCTTCAGACTTTACATCAAATATAGCATTCTGCACTCAATTATTTTTAAAAATAAAAACTGGCACAGACAAATTCATTTCTGTCAAAACTACTGTCATAGAATTTATAGAAGCATGCAGAGCTTACTGAGTTAGCTGCATGGTTGAATGCAATCACTTTCCTATGCATAAAGAATTCCTTGTAGCTGAAAACACATTTAGAAAAATTATAATATAGTTATGGTGATTATTGACCAAGAACCCATACTTCTAGAATACCATAATAGTGGTGATCTACACTGATAGCACTTCCTTATTTGAAAAATGAAATCTACAAAAAAGAGGAAAAGGAAGGGAAAATGGAAATCCATGTCATTATTCGACCTTCTGTAACAAGGTGAATTAAGAAAAATATAACCTACCATAAAAATTTATTTGCATACAGTTTTAAAAATAAACACAAAATTTATATATATTTATAATGTTATCACACATTCATGCCATTCTAAGTAAGTTAGTGCTTCCTATGTCAATTTCAAAACTATGTATAACTTGAATAAAGTTTATATTATATAAGCATGTGTAAGTATGAACAAATATATTATATTTTTATTCAGTTATTACACTTCAGATCTATTAAAATAGCTGTATCAAATAACAGTATCATAATAGCACCATTCATTGGTAGCTATTTGTACATAAGACTAGAGCATGCAGAAGAAAGGATATGCAACTTTAAAATATACAAATTTAATCTCTGAAGTAAATTTAATGTCAGAGCAATGGAACAAATTCTATGAGGCTACTGCAGACCATTCTTCCATCTTCAAGATAACGAAAGATGTCTCAAATATATGAAGTGTTTCACAACCAGTGGAAAGTCTGAACATACAAACTACCTCTTTTGAATTCAATTTTGCGTAACTGCAATAACTGTAATTACATTTTATCTCAACTATGCTATACACAGTAAATGTAATTAAAAATGCAATATAAAGCTTCACAATATTAAACACTGCCAAAATTGAACAATATACTGAAAACTGACTTATCATTATAGAGAACAGCACAACATTAAACAATTATTATGCTGTTAAATTCAAGTAAAGTAAACATCCACTAACCTTACACATTCAAACCACAAGATTCCCTGAGAATATAAGATAGTGAAAGACAAAAATGTTTATGTCATATCATCTTAAACACTTGCAACATTGCAGAGTATCTTAACAGGAACAGACATCAAACCATACAGAAATAACACACTAATGAACTCTACATTCATTATTCCTATTACAGAATCCAGAAATGCAGGTCATTTTCTTAACATTTCAGTGGTTATTTCCTCAAATATTATAACACACATTACAATCTTACTAAATAAAAAGTAAAGTAGGTTTGTTAAAAAAGAATTCCAATTTCAATGTCTGCAAATTGTTATAGTTTGATTTTCTGTACTGAGGACGCAGAAAGAAATCCTGTGGAGTGACCCCCTCTGTATCTTCCTTCAGCTGTTACACTAACTTCCTCTGGTGTACTCCCTTGTATCCCCCTAGTCATTCTATTTACGCAAATAATTAAAGTGATAACTGCGACTACAGCTTTAATAAGCTTATACAGGCTGCAGGGAAACATAACAGTAGGCAGGGAGTAGAAACCTCAAGCTCAATTATCCCTGCCATCCACAGGAATTTTTCTGCAGCCTCAGAATAGCAAGAGTATTTCATAAATACAGAATGTCCAGAATGTGCATGTCAGAAAGTATGTTATAAACTGATAACTGAACAGAAAATCTATAATTTATACGGGGCCTGAAGGGGTACTTATTATTATGCAACAGAGATTTCCTCTGCAGTCCTTGGCATAGAGTAATGCAATATACTTTTTGACATCCTTTTATGGGATATTACATATATTTGCACAAAATTAGTGAATCTCTATTAGAGGGTTGCATTCAGTTCACACAAAACTTTACCCACTGCTGCCATTGGCATATATTCTTGGCTGGTATGAAAGTTACCAAAAATCTAGTGCTAGCATTTGCTCACTAACAGCTTCTATGGAATAAAAAAATATAATATAAGCAAAATTCTAGACGGAAAAATATAAATGTCAGATCTAATAAACAATACCTGTGTACTGGGTCATTGTTATTAAATTTCATTGCAATCATATAAGAGACAATTTATTCCACACTACGTGCCTGCTGGCTGGACTTTAACTCTGCAGTTTAGCAGTTTGTCAGTACACAACACAACTGGACTGTATGTTGCAATGCATAGGCATTAAAGGTTAAGTGAGTTGATGTTCATTTCTACAGAGGGAAATATTACCTTTATGTAGCATTCATGTTTCTCAATCATTATATCCATTTGCGTAAATCATAGATGAAGACACGATGACACATTTCATGCAAGGTAATGAAGTGTCTTCAACTGTTCTTACACTTACATCAATATTTAATAAACTTCTTTTGTTTTAGGGTGTAAAACAAGCAGCATTTTTTACCTCATAAATTATATAATTAGAAAACTAAATACAAAATGCTGCGGTGTTATCTGTCCAGGATAATTTTATAAAATGCATCAACCCTAGTACAAATATAATGTTTACCACTCTACCACATCTTAGTAATTTTATCTTTAACATGTCTTTATGTGTATATAATTTAAATTTATAAATATGACACTTTCATAGTAGGAAGTAAATATCATAAAAATTCCCTTGATAACTGTGCAAAAGTCTTAAGCATCAAACATCTCAAGTTTACAGGTAAGCAACTATGGTTGTTAATTATTATGTCTTAAAACACAGGAAACAAAATAACTTAAAAAACATCACTTTCATGTTAACTATAAGTCGCCATCCCTCAGAGAGACATCTTAATTTTTCTTCTGCAAGACTAGTGACTGAGATGGTCAAGATCTCAAATCAGAAGACCTTCACAAAGATATTATTGAAGTTTTATAACAGGTTAATGTGTAATAGCAAAAATGTACTATGAGCGTATAACAATACAACCTGCAGATATGCAATAAAAAAGGTCAACAGTGTATTTGTCACTAGTATTAACTGAATCAAAACAAATTATCAAAATGAAGAAATATCCAATATGTTTTCAACTGTATGACAGGGAGGTAAGGGAAAGATGTCAAAAATGTGAACTGTACTTTAAGAGATATCAAACTAAGAGATTGTGCAGATAAAACAAAAAATTAAAAATCAGATGTACACTAAATTGTTTTCAAGTCCATGAAAAAAGCTATAATTTACACTATACTATATTACTAAGTGGACTTTAATACAAAATTTGAATAAGTGAATAAAAGTACATGAAAATGCATAAAAACTTGCGAATATTTACAGGTGTGATGGCAATATAATCAGACGAATAAATTTTCCAGTTATTCTTTTAAAAAGTCTGCTTCTCTTCATGCATATTCATTCACATAAGTAAATAAAATATTTAAAACTAGTATTATTAATGTTGAATGTATACACAGTCATTTTAATAACAAAATAATTCTTTTTGTTCTCTAATGTGCTTGGATATGTAAATTAAGAAAATTACAACAGCACTTGTTACCTCATTTTAAATTATTAATTCTTGTGACAGCGTGACTTCTTCTACAAAGTGGTTTCAGCTCCTAGAAGTCTTTGCCTGCTGAAGAACTTACAGATTTTCAAACTCTCTGTGGATGTATGGTTGGGCAAATATAACTAATTAAAACAACACTTAACACAGCTTCCTAGGACTGAAACAATTACCTTAATTTGCCTACAAAATGCTACATAAAAACGTTTTGACACAAAAATTGAAAAACTACAAGCATAAAAATCCATGCAACTTATTTAGCACAACAAATTAATAATATTCATTATCCAGATATGTTAAAATAATGCTAATTTTATGGGAAAAATGAACAGTGATGTGATGGTTGAGTTCCCAAGGAGATATATTAAAACTAAGCAGGGATTACATCAGAGATTTTTGTTATGTTATTATTAAAGACTGGGATTTAAATTCAAAATTCTGATCACATGGACCAGAGAACCAAATATAATACATAATTAATTATATTGTATGGAAGAGAGTTTAAACTAGCCAGATGAAGTAAAATTTTACATATATACAGAATTAAAAAAAAATAGCTGAAAAATACTTTTTACACTTCCAGCTTTCATTCAGATTACTACTGCTGAAACTTTTAAAAATTCAGAGAAATGAAAGAAATATGTTGTGTTCTTACTCCTTTAGTGCATCTATTATTTCTGTTCTGGTAAATTTATTCCATTTCCCTCTCTTACTGGAACTATGAAGGAAACTGGGATATGACAGTATTTCCAGAGGGAAGTTCACTGTATTACTCAGTAGCCACATATAAATATATTTATATCTGATACCGTTATATGAAAATAACCACAAAACTGCAGCTTAAAATCTGATTGAAGCAGAACAAAAAGGACTTTTACATGTTCATACAGGCATTTTTTATGCTCAAATCTAAGTTTCACTGCTTTTTCCAAATGCTATTCATTGCCCAAAAATACATACATAATGTAGGCTGTTATCTAACTTCTATAATCATTGTGTAAATTTCTTTTATTTGGATGTTTCATGATAGCTAGCTCAGGACAGAGCCTGGCAGGCTTTTGTGGTAAGTTATTCTTTGAAAAGCCGAGAATACAATCAACTTTTCAAAGAATTTCCTGCACCGTAAAGTAAGTCAGGGAGAGAGTGAGTGTGGATATTTCTTGAACTAGAAGTCTATTTAGGCATTCAAGCATAGTGCTACTTCTTTGACCAATACAACACAGACAAATGATGCATTATATATAATGACACACACAAGATGTTTCTGAAAAAGTATTAGTGTTATCAATATAAATGCCTACAAATGTATGATGAACAAAAAGTTCTTTCCCATAGAAACAGTATCCTACCAGCCCAAAACAGAAAGTGAAATAAAACAGGTACTTAGATTGCAAAGGCTGAAAGGATGTTACTTTTCCCAAACAATATGAGAATTTGAGTATGTTTCATAACAAAGCACAGTTCATAAAAATTCCAGATGTGATAGTTCAAAAAAAAAAAAAAAAAAAAAAATACAAACTGTTATAACAAAAGTGGGGTTGGATGGAGGGCAGAATTAATCAAAATGAGTCTTTCTAAGTGTGCGGATGACAAAATTGCCACAGCACCAGGTGGAAGCACGTGCTTGAGTGTGTCTGTATTTGCAATTACCACACTGTGCTGAATGGGTATCAGTGTCTGCAACTGCAGTGTCATGCAACAGTACATTACCACAATGAGATAGATGACCCAGGTCCACTGCTCCCAGCAGCATGGAACAGAACAATTTCTCCCATCAGTACCATATACTATACCACTATCCAATTGTTATATTGTATTTCTTGGTTTATAGTAGCTTTACTATTTATTATAAACCACAGCTACATGACACTTAACCTTTATCACGTAGGATTAAGGCATAAGCAGAAAAATGTAAAAGAAACATTTTTTCTTCCACTATCCTATCCCATTACAAGAAGCTGTTCAGCCCGAACATGAGCCACAGGTATCACAAAAATATGTACGAGAGGAAACACCTGTTTAACTGTAAATACTCTTATAACAAACCCTTCTTATTCAGGTTTTTTCACTTCTTTAAAAGAAGTTGTACAGTTTAATTAAAAACATTGTACTTATAACTTTGGAGTTGCATAATTATTATATGGAAAGGAAATTTTTAATTCTAAAATAAAACTGACATGAAGTTTCAAGTCTACAGGTATTATAAATAATATTCTCCAACTTTAAGCTAAGAGATAAATATAATATACAATGAAAATGCAGGAAATAAAAAATGTAAATGTTCCCTTGTAAAGACACATAGTAATTATACTTTACATGCAGAACAAATAATGTGTGGAAAGCTGCAATGCATTGGCACTACACAAGTTAGAGTACTCCAAAATATTGTCACAAAAACAGAACATATATCATATGTGGAAAGGTACAATGAACTGTGCTACATAAGTCTAGAGGTATCCAAAATAATTCCCTCTAACAATATATGTGACACTGTCATTAAGATGGGGCACTTTCAGAATGGAAGAAACTTTGTCATAGGACATGTCTAAATATGTGATATAATGGGAACCACAGAAGATATTATTTTAGCAACACTCACATAATCTAGACTTTTGGATCAGACAAATATGAAATCTTAGGGTCAGGGAAATGTTAGTATCAGAAAGGGTGGTAGGTTTCCATTTAAAGAACTCAGAAGAGTATTCTGACACATCCTTCACAGATGCAGCATGCTACCTTGCATGCGTTGTAAAAATATATTAAAAAAGTCTGATCTGTGTTGCATGCAGTGCTGAAGAACGTAAGAAAATAAAATGCTCTTATTAAATTTTATATAGATATTTATTAACGGCTGCAAATATTCTAATAATTTGGATGTGATATAGCTATGGATGTACATTTTACTTTAAAAAACAAAGCAGTAACAAAGATTTTAATTTAGTAAAAATATAAATATAAGGCAATTCCATGACTGATACTGCCAATTTATAACTGGTTTGAGAACAAACTGAAATCAAAATGTATCTTTAAACAGAAAAGACATGCAACACAGATATGTAATGTATACACAAGTCTCTTTAAAATGAAATTTTATAAAACATAAAACTGAAAATACAGAGCAAAATGGCAAACAAAAATTACTAAAGAATGAACTTTTCAACAAAATGGTTTTTTTTGTGACCACACATAAAGCAAAATTAAATGAGAGTAACAATATATGTATTTTGTTCTGCATGAGGTTCTTGAGAGGTCTGAAATGGCTGTCACAGAATTAAAAGATTTGTCATACATAAAAAAACCTGTTTGTTGTAATATGAAAATAGATAGTAAGAGTGCTTACAATAACTACTGCAGAGCATTTTCATATGGTATGCATAAACATCAAACACATAACCATCAAGTAGCTTACAAGAAGCACGGGTTATTCTTGCCTTTTTCATTATTTGATGGATTTATGACTGATTATTAAAAGATTTTGTTCTAACAATGATTATGTAACTGATGAATGTCATAACTGTGAAAACTTAATGTCAGAATTAATGTTGAAATATGTGGGAATATTGTGGATGGCCCATCATAAAGTCTGTAACAGGTTTCTGTGAATTGGTTGAAGAATTAGTTGCAACTTCTTTTTAAACTTAATAATACAAGAATACCACTAAATATGAAGATTTGTAATGGTGTATTCACATAATAATAAACTTATTAAACATTATTCACTGCCTTAATTTAAACTGAAAGCGACATTTTAAAGACTGGTCTGAGATTACAACTAGCTTACTGACAGGACTCAACTGAGTATGTTTTACCAGAGGATAAAGAAAGGTTCCAGTCTTTGAAATGTTGTTTCAATTTAAAACTAGGTTGGATATTGTCCAACAAGTTTGTTATTATAAGAATCCCACTGATCAACAGAAGATAAAGGAGTAAGTACAGATGTGGAATGCTGTTAGAGAATAATACTGGAAAAGTATTGTAAAGTAGAATGTTCACTGCTGAATAAATATTGACAGTTTACAAAGCAGAAAACTGTATCTAAATTACTACTGGCAAAGTACCTGCACTGATAAAAATAACAGTTAATAATTGGACAGAGGTAGAAGATACTAAGAAGTCAAGAGACATTCTTAATTACCACAGTTTTGCTTAAATTATATTTAAAACACAACTGGTTATGCCTTGAACAACTGGTAGGTGATCTAACAATAATTCCAGTATGTCCATGTCTTGGCATCTTAAAATATTAGAGACAATGCTTTATGCCTTCAACATAGAGAGAATGATCCTCTCAAGTGATAGCAAGAATATCATGATGTGGCACTTGCAGATGAAGGGACAAGGAATGATAATTATAATTCACAATCTGGTAATACAATATGTTCATACATTGTAAATTTGAATTATCATAAAAAGTCTTACCAAATATCAACTCCACTCTAGGCCAGACCTGACCAATAAAGAAGTATAATTAAACAAAATACACCCATTTAAAAATAAAAATATGTACTGAATTATATGAGGGCATATCTCAATTCTATTGTTTTGTTTATGAATGATATAGAATAACAATATGTCATACTACCAGTAGGCAGCACAAAGTTTAATTGGATAAAAAAGTTAAGGCCAGAAACTATTTAAGCCACCAGTGGAATCTCAAGGAGTTTTAGAAATAACAGACCACATATTTTTGTAAGATTTGAGGTTTTCACAGCGGTGAGTATGAAGATTTCTGTCTTCTGGGTTGTTGCGCTGTGTAGTCTGGTCGATGTTAACCAACGTTTCAGAGGTCATACTGCCTTTGAAACGTTGGTTAACATCGACCAGACTACACAGCGCAACAACCCAGAAGACAGAAATCTTCAGATCACATATTTACTGGTGGTATACCTAAAAACATTTTAATTGTATGCAATGTGCTTTTAAAACAACTTTTAAAAATATGTCCAAATTATTTCGTTTCAGAAATTAAAGCAAATTATGATCTACAAAGAAAAAATGATCCGTACTATAAAAGGGACATTGAGAATTTATATTACCACACTAGCAAGTAGCAAAGAGTGTCACTGAAACTATTTAAAACTTTATGACCAAAACAATTATATAAAATGCTCTCATCAGTACATAGTGTTACACATACAATCCTGATAAATATAAATAGCATTCCCTCTAGGACTAAGTAAATGTATAATATGAGTATACATTACTTATATATACGGAAATGACTAGCAAAATTAATCCATCTTGAATTATAACTGCAACTCAAAACATGGGTACTATGTCTGCATATCAGATGGAAGCAGTGTAGGTTAAGAGATATGGTACATTTCTTATTTTGAAACCAAACATATTTTTATTTCTCTGGGATCCAGTTATTTGGTATAAATTTTGAAATTTTCAACTGATCAAAAAATCGTCTTGTCCATCAATTTTACTTGTTTTATCATACCCCAGTAATAGTACACAAAACTACATATTTTGCTGGACATACACATTCAAGTACTGTATTGTTATATACATTCATGAACTGATTCACATGTAACAGTATATACTTAAGTACAGTACTGAGAGCAGTCAGAGCACTCACTTGTGAACATGATAAATACAATTTTTTGCAACAAACTGGTTTTTCCCCCCTGCCCCTTATGTCACCAATTACCTTATGCCACTGATATGTCTGGAAATAATACTCAGGAATTTCAATTTAATTGAAATATTACTAGAAACATAGTATACAACCATATAAAGAAAAATATATGTCTGATGTCACAAATTTTAGTTTGACATATGTTCTAACAGACTGTGATCAGCATGAGCTATATAACAGACAGCTACATGTGCAGAACTGAAAGTGGGTTATTACATGATCAGCTTAAGTCATAGCATAACATTCTTAATTCTAACCTGCACACCATCATTCAAGAGCCCCCCCTACCCCTCTCTATATGATAAAACAATATAAGGATGCAAAAATTATGTTGCATAAATAATAGTAAAATTAATCATCTAGCTGCCTGCACTTATACATGGACTGAAAGGTTTACATCACAGACAAATTATGTGATAGTTGCATGATTAATTTCTAAATTGCACAACTAAAGCGACTTCCAAGTTGTTATAACACAAACAATGTGTAATTAAATTACATAAAGTTTTTCATTTATGTTGTTACATTCTACTACATATAACCCAAAAGACACAACAACATTAGTAGCATAAAATCTGCAACAAAGTACTGCCTCTGAATTAACAAACATGAAAGCTAACACTTATATGAGTCTTTCAGCTGAAGTGATACCTCCCCCCTCCCCCCCCCACAAGAAGCAGAGGCCTTCAGCCGAAACGGCCCCTCCCTCTCTGGGTTCAAACCTCAGAGAACCAACCAACCAACCAACCAAATTCTTTGGACAAGTTGCCTGACGGGATAACCTCCAATCAGCAGCGACAGACCCTAGTTTGAATGGTCGAGGCTCCCGCCACAACAGAGCCCCGTTAGTGTTAGCAAAATTCCCATTTCCATTTTAAGGCTCTGTTTACCATTTCCAGCAATGCGTTTCGTAGGCAGGAATGGTGTTACCTAGCAAGGGACGATGTCTTGCGCTTGCGCAGGACTCTGCCCTTAGCTAGCTTTTTGGTTGGTTGGTTGGTATATGAGCCAACTTTAGCATGAATCACATAATTTGTATCATTTGCAATTAAGATGACTTTTAATAGCAAAATCATATAACCAAGATTTATATAAAAAGCATAAAATTGGACTACCAAGCAATGAAAGCAGTAAGCATAAACAGATAAAACTACGGATAGTATTACTTATGCTATCATTGCATCAGTATTTGTAAACCAAGATTCTTTTATTCTAAAACTTCAAGTAAAAGCCAGACACTGACATATTATACCATTCCACATTGTATGCATAAGGAATACTCCCACCAGAAAACCAAAACTTCTTGATTCACATAAACTCATCGATCAAAATGATATGCTATATGGTTGTAATTTATTTATTTTTTAATTACTGGCTTCTCTTTAAGGGTGACAGAACACAAGGTGGTTCTAAAATATGGAGGTTAAAACAAGTGACAAACATGTAGTCTATTCAAAGAGTGTGAATATATGAAATTTATTCATATAATATTTATGCTTCAAAACACATTCTCTTTGGTTTATAATTTACATCTGATGAATGCTGCATCAAACTGTACTTTAAAAGAACAGCAGTAGCTTCAAAGTTATGAAAGTGGATCAAGTGAAAGCAAATACAATGGTAACAGGAACAAAACTAGTGATTACTGTTTCTGAAATATATTTATATGGATGAAACACTCAATGCACATACAAGTTTTAATATACATCAGAGGTGCCAAATGGCTACTTTTCAGAAATCAAATCATGTTCTTTACAAATGTTTTTCATTTCTAAATGTAAAATTACACTATATTTTAATGAAAATGAAAAATCTTACCTTAAAATTAAGTATATACAACAGTGAAAAATGCTGTATAAGAAGTGATACTGGCTATTTTATAAAAACATAATCATTTAAGGAACAAGTGATTATTTACAATTTATTATATTAACTTACATAAAATTTCACATATAACAAAAACCATCCTGACACATTCATAAAGGAGTACCCTCCATCCCCACAAGAATTCTGAACCTTTACCAAAACACAGCTTTCTGACATTGTGCATCATATATCAACACGACGGCTGTACTAAGGCAAAATACAATCACTGCTGTGTATGCTGGATAAAAATAAAGTACACACTATCATTAAAATCTTGGTAGAGGGAGTGGAGGAGAGAAATTGTACAGCAGTATATTGGATATTTATAATTATAGCAGCACAAAAATGTCTGTGACAATACCATCTAACCATGGCAGTCAACGTGTTAAAATGCAATTCATTATGTATCGATCTGTTTCTGCCCTATGACTTATTAAAATATATTTTTCTTTTATTGCATAATGTTTTGCAATAAAGTTTGAGTTAAAAGAAAGGTTTGGTTTTAAAGTGTATATGAACAAACATTTTTTTAAAAAGAAGGATGTTCAAATGTTCTGGAAACATGCACATTAAATGCACAAATTCACAACATTTTGGCTGGTTCCTTTGAACTTCAATTACAGTAAAAGCCATTCTAGTAGCGTACAGCTTCATGTAGCTTACTGTTGCCAAGTAGTTTATGTCTTCTTGTTTCTATGTAAGTATCTTGCACATAATAAAATAATAAAGATCACATACCTGAATTGACAGTGTATCGCGTTTTGGCACTTGTGCAGTAAGCTTCAATAACACGTAAAATCTGAGCATCTTCTTCATAACTTCTTTCAGCTGAAAATTAAATAAAATGGAAATATATCCCACCTTAAAGAAATAAATAAAAGGTAACACATGCACATAAACCAAGACTCACTCTGTTTCTTAGAGCTGCGTCCAGACTTTCTATGATTGTCATCACGACCAAGAGCTAGGCAGGGGCGGAGTGGGGGAGAGGGACGCAAACAAGACATACTCCAGCCCTTGTTAACTGGTTGATGTATGGGCCTCACACTGCTTGGCTGTGGCACACTTACACGAGATGACAGTGGAACTGTCAGTGGTGACATCTGCAGTAAAAAACATATTTTAATTAAATAAAAGAGCACAATAGCATATGAAAACAAGTCATTTGCAATGGTGAGCACTATTTAATTGCTAAAGAACAGTAAGGAAATTGTTTATTTTTTATGTGTGTCAATCTTGGTATGGTGCATAAATTAAAATATTAGTTTTCTTGTGCAAGATATATTAAATACTTCTTATGAAATTATTCACTCATATGTTTATGTGAAATGGCAAAAACATAAAATGTAAAACTCTTCTGGATGGAAAATATCTAATAAGTATATGGAACAGACCTAGAACATGATACTGCTGTGGTTTGTCATGTAGCACATTGACAAAGAAGTCTTATATTATCAAGACTTAAAAATTACAAGCAACCTTTTATATAAATTAAAACATTTGATATGATGGCTGGCTAATGCATCAATAAGCTAGAAACCTAATATAACAAAATGAACAAACCACATAAAGTAAAGGAAATCAAAATCCATTTTCCTTACAGGTTAAGATGTATATTAACATATTTAATCTGAAGAGGACCTGTCATTCTTTGTTTCATGGAGTTCTGAAAAGATGAAGGCTCTATTTTATTTTGATTTAAAGAAGGTGGTTATTTCATACCTGCAGGAAATGGTACTATAGCAAAACACCTGTAAGAGGCAACAATGTGTAACATAAAGGCATAAACTTTATATTTCTCTCCAAAGTCGTAGGATTCTTAACTTCATAAACTGCTTATGTACTGCCCCTTTGTAGTCCCACTTTTTTCTTCAATTATTGATTTATGTTGATATCCTCACAGATTATTACTAACAAAAGACTCATAAATGCAAACACAATACTACGTTAGAATGGCATATAGTAGGATTGAAAAAATCCAAAAACCTTCAATGTGGGGGAGCTAATATTGTGCTTCTCAATGTGATGCAGTTATCCCATATTTAACAATATTAAGATATTGTTACAGCTCATATACATTATGGCAGACTTTTATTATACACAGACATGTCCTGTCCTTGTTTTCTTCAATAATCTGTCCTACAACTTCACTATCACCTAGTTATTAGTAATGAAATAATACACTATTGTATTTCATTACATACACAGTTATTGTTATACAAAGTGAGATATCTACTCACAATGTTAGTAAAGCCTGTCTCCAAACATGCACATGCCAAAAATCTACAAAACATTTAACAGAAGCATTATACAATATTTATGCATTTTCCACAAAAAGTGTGTAAAATTAAACCATAACATGTCTGTCCATGGTTTCATTTATGAATCTACTCAATGGATTTTGCTTACTTCTACTACTAGGGGGCATGTACACTAAAAGTTGCTATGAATATTGTATTTTCATTTCAATCAAATACACTTTATATAAAGCTCAAAGTGAACTTGACCAATATTATTAAAATACCTGTACTGTTTAGACCCTGGCCACATGACAGTACAAAGTATGTCCGTTGCAATGGACATACTTTTGTACGGACGTAGGTGATGACACCACACGAGCGCATCAGTTGCCCCAATGGACCCAGAAGAAGCCGTTGCATTCTGTGGTCTTGCCCCTTCATAATTCTATGACGGATGTCACGATGTGCGTTACAATGGACGTACTTTGTACAGTCTTGTGGCCCCAGCCTTAACAGTGTAAGAAGCCACTTCTCAATTCTTCCAACAATTCGATGCTGCCATAATGCCATCATGAACATATTTTTGTGACTGATTGTGCTATTAATTTTACACCACACATTTCAGCTCATCAGCATGGAAGTGGATTCCAATGAGCACTGCTTTAATGGGTCCACTTTACTTGTGAGAGGTCTGGCAAGTATGGCAGATGTGGGAGCATTTCAATGGAAGAACTCTGATGCAACTGCTACCACAGGCATATGCAGATACAGCTGTCATGTTGAATAGAAGTACTCTTGAATATCAATCTGTATCAACTTTACCTAATGGTTGCATTCAGACACTCCTTCACAACACATTTTGCTGTTTAGTTGGATCTGATCAACAGTAAGTATGTCACGATGTTGCTGATCATGTCTCAGGAGAAAGCTGATACGGCCTTTCTAGTTCATCGTATACCAAAATTATTTTGACTTTGACAACAGAGAATGCCACTTTTTGCTAGCAAATTTTATTTCAGGCTAGAAGCAGAGCAGTCATTTTACATCTACAACATATGTAGCATGATGACATGCTGTTCATGGCCTGGCATCATTAAACTCCTGCATATAATATTTAAATTTCTCTACCCACCATACAATGTGGTAAATATTCACTGAGCTCTCACCTCCAGATGTTAAAAAATGACACTATACACCTCTTGTAACTCCAGCTGTTTTCACCTGAATTATTTCATGTAACAAATTTGCAAATTACATAAATATAGATGTCATTATGCCTTGCAAAATTTTTTGATTCAGCAAATATTTAACAACATGCAAGGGAAAACAATTTCTGACTACATAGAAAGAACAATACATTTGCATCTGCAACCTAACACTACTATATAGTCACAGCTGATAAGTGTCATTAAATAAACCAAAGAAGAGACAATGATATTCACTTTAATTTGTCTGTAGGATAAAATAAACAGTAATCTATACTGCTAACTTAAAAATGTTTTATTTAAAATATACTGAAAGGAAACATAAAATAATAAAAATATAATAACCATTAAAGATATATTACAATGAAAAATGTTACAGGATAATGATGGTCTGTCAACGTGAAAGAACTGGGGAGGAAGCAGTCATGGTATATTTCTATCCTGCTATTCACTTGGGGGTAGTGAAGAAAACTATGAAAAAAGCCTATAGCAGCTAAAATTTGAACCAGGCAGCTTCTGGAACATGCCAGGAGCACACCATTTAAGCCAACTTGCTTGGTAGGTATCCCTTATGAGTTATGACTCTATATAGATTACAAATTTTGTTTCTATGTCTATGTCTATTCATTTTAACTGTGCATTTTACATAATCTAGCCTTTTATTCACAAGGTTACGAACAGTTTCATCATTTAGATTCCTGTAATTATCTACAAAATATCTTTTCACCATTAACCTCAATATAGGTAATCTTGTTGTGTAACTAACCCAAAATTATTTGTCAGTCTGATAGGCCATTATACACACACTGCCTAAACCTCTACATGTAGTTATGAATATGAAACGTGCAGAGGCATGAGTAAGAAGTTCACTACTATACTAAGTAGTACTTTCTCTAATCTAGATCTGTGCAGGAGTTGTGAAACAGGCAAGGTCATTCTTACTATAACCAAAAACCACTCTCAGCATTATGTAAAGTGGTAATCATTTTACAAAAAGGTATCATTGCACAAACAAACTCAGAATATTTATTTCAAAATCAAGCTATTTGCAGAATTAGATGTTAATTGCAAACTCCAAACAACTATAGGATTGCAAGGCTGATGGTTTCCACAGTCAATTTAAACAATATAAAAGTTAGCACAAGGAAAAGTATAGAAAAGCAAAGTTCTCAAATGGGTAACAGACAAGTTTAAAAAGCTGTCAGAGAAGTTTGGTTTCTGAGTTCACAAAAATTTGGAGGTTTCAAAACACTACATTTATAAAAAATAAAGGGTTTGTATTTTATACAAATTACTTGTCTTCCTTTAAAGAAACAGAGATATAGAGAGTGGTTACAAATATTAACCCAGTATTAAGTCTTTCACACAACACCTGTTTATAAAACAGGAAGAATCCTCTCAAAACATTTCACAAGGATGCAACTTCAAAAATATTTTGGGGTTTGAACAAATAAGACTATCTTTAACACAAATTTTTCTTTTAGAGAGACTAACATGGCAATTAAAGGAACAGGGAACTAATATGTGGGCTTAAATTTATGTAACAGCAAATAAGTATTTTTGCAGCAGTAAAAAAATGTGGAAGCCCAGAAACCAAAAAGTGTATTAATGCCTTTAAATAATTTATTTAAACTGTGGATTTCATTAGTGCTTTGCAAAATTGTTTCAATACAGAAGCCTTGCCTGTTTGTGAAGGAGGTTTGTGTGTCTTGTGTCTGTGCGCTGACTCCACAGATCTCACAGCCGAGGCAGGAATCTTAGTCTTGAGCCACCAATGAGCATACATTCCAGAGCGATAGATACCACCTACATTCAGGTGGTCTTCCTTAACTTCACTGCTGCTATTCCATGGTTGGGCAGCTGGCAATGGTGAAGGATCCAAACTGGTTGAAGTAATAGAAGGAGCCACTGAATCCATTGATCCCACAAAGATTTTCTCAGATGTAAGGGATGCCTGTGCAGATGTTCTAGGAGTTGAACCAAAAGGTGATGTGCATACACACTGGGCTTCATAATTTGGTTCATCTAGTTCTTCACTCTCCCGAAGAGTCACCGACCGGGCCAATGCAGATTCAGAAGTAGACACACCAAGACAATTTCCCACACCATCAATAGGTTTCAGGCAGCATGTTACAGCATCTTGGTCATGTAGGAGACCTGACATGTCAGGGGAAGGCAGAGTGGAATTGCCAGCTATATCAGCCAGTCCAGAATCTGAAGAACGTGAACTGCAGGGAACCTCATGACAGCATCGGCAGTGCTCAGTATTGGTACATTTGCCTGCATCTATGCAATAACTTTCTGCAATACTAATATAATGATAACTGTAACACCTCCTGTGTATTGAAGGTTTAATTCCCATTTCATGATGAACTCTGTCTTTGCTAAGGAGATCAATGTCTGCAGGACTATTATGCTTACTGGAGCTTGTTCTTCTAGGAGAAGATTTTGAAGGTTTCAAACATGGTATAGAAAAATCAGAATCCCTTGTTGCAGCTGTGTCAGTCACTGGTATAATGGTAGGAAGATCACGCACTGTTTGAATGCTCTCCACACTATGGTCACTGGAAGCACTCTCTTGTTGGTGAACTAATTTGGAAATGGAGCTGTCACTTAATGGTTCTAGGTCATACAGCAATTCTGCCAAGACTGCAGTAGGAACAGGTATCACATTAGCCGGCATATTCAAGCTAGAAGAATGTGTTGTGGCTTGTAAGTATGGTTCTTGAGGTAAAACTGGCATAGAGTGTGACAGCTGTGGTTTAGGATTAAGACAAACTCCATGGCAGGATGTATATAAATCCTTCTCACTTGTGAAATGACAACTTGGAACATACAGTGGTGCAGGCTCTGGCTGGCAGAAGTTATAAGGCTTGAATGTTGGAAGACTCTGTCGGACTTGTGGATGAGATCCCTTGGGATGTGTTGGCTCTTTGAGGATAACATCATCTAACTGTGTCAAGTCCTCACAGACAGCACATGGGAATGATCTATGAGCTGACGTTCTTTCAAAACTTGATTCACTGGACTGCTGAGGGGTTAAAAGACTGGGAGCTCTACTGTCTTTCTGCTTACAGATAAAACTAAGTGTGGAACTAAATTTTTTGTCTCCTGACTTCTGTTGTAAAGTAACGCAGTTTACAGGTATTTCACTTCTCTTAGTATTATAACTTTCACTACCAACTTCAGTAATTCCAGAATTCCCTCCATCCACGAAACCCTCAATACCTGCTACACTATCAGCACATTTTGGACTGTAATAGTGTATGAAACCAAATGGACTGCTTGCACAACTGCTTACTGAGCTCTTATCATCACTACTGTAATCAATAGCATTCTGCCTCTCCAGATGTCCAGACTTACAGTATGAAGATTTTGTTTCCTGCAGAGAAAGGGTGCTGTCTGTGGCCGTATCAGAACTGGAACCACAGGTATCATCAGAATCCTCTTCTGATACACATGACTTCAACCAAGTCTTTTTCACAGTGTAGGTTCCCATGCTCACCCGAGTTGGAAATATGACACACTCGACTTTATGACTGTGGCGTACTTTTACCCCTAGAATGTTAACACCTATTCCATCCTCTTTAAATTGAGCATATAATAAGCGTTTAAGAACCTTTCTTGTTATTACACCACGCTGAACCAGATCAGCAAAGAAGGCAGTAAGTTCAGAATAAGGTGATGCTGGAGGAAGACTTACATGAGGTGGAGGCAGAGGCTGAGGCTTGCCAGGTGGTGGTGAAGTGGCTGGAGACGGAGATGACACAGAAGACTTTCGGACTGTACGGATCTGTTGTTTCAAATGTTCTACCCATGTATGCTGGTCGTCTTTCGTTTGACACACTGCTAGAATTCGCTCGATCATGGTACCTACAAAATAAATACTGCATGCTACATATGAGGGTCTTATGGCAGTGAAGACATTGATTATTTCTCAGTTGTGGATAGTCACATGAAAGGTTACCACATTTCAAAGGAACTTTTGTAACACCTACACAAGGCCACGCAGTGTCACAACCCAGAAGGTCACAATTAACACTGTACATTAAATATGAATTTAATACTTTTGAGCTTCAACAACCAACCAGAAATACCACTTTACTTGAAGAATAAAATTAATATCTAAAAGACAATATATTTTACCAGTCAAGAAATATTTTTAAAGAACATGGTGAGATAAATATTTTATGTTATTTCTTCAATATGACGAGCATTTGATGCGTGTCACATAGTGAAACTACATTTTACTTACCTACTGGATTAATGTTAGCAAACAATTCAAACTACGAATTTGTTTATGTTAAAAAAATTTTGTTTAAAATATTCCCTGGCATTGCATTTCACAATATCTCACTTTTCACAAAAACTTCAATATCCAAATTGAAAATATAGCATTTTTGAGGACACCAGACACTAACCTGTTACTTCAAATGCATTCTTGTAAGCTTCTGTATCTTCCAATTTTGTAACATTTATTCCTGTTAAAGGCAATTTTCCCTGAAATATAGTGAAGCATAAATACTATTAACATTTTACACTTCTCTCTCTATATATGAAGAGGCCTACATGATATATAAATTATTTACTTCTATACACTTTAGAAATAATTACAGAATTTGTTATTATACAAACATTATGTAAATAAGAGGAATATATGTTGGTGCCTAAAAATTATTTAGAGATGAAAGGAGTTCAAACATCTGTTAAGGCATGCTGAAAAGTAATGCCTCCAAATATTTTATATTTCATAACTAGAATAGATATTTCACTGAAATAAAAACAGGTACTTTTCTAGACCTTCAATCTGTAATATTACATAATTAATTCCCAACATATTCACCTCAGTGGACCATGCACACTTTCACCAAAATTCAGGTAGTTTCATGAGTCAACCACAACAGAAGTTTGCAGCTAATTTAAGATCTAAGGCCATGACACAATAAGCACCATTCAAGAGCATATAATAAATACGGACATAAAGTCCCAACCACCACTTAATATAAAATTAAGTGACAACAATCATGAAACTTAAAGAAATAATAATATAAACAAGAATAAATATTCTACATTATCTCTGCCCTGAAAGTTTAAGCAGTATTATGTAAACGGGTAACAAAACCAACCTCATATATGAAGGCACTCATCCGCTGACTAACACTGAGCATAAGTAAAGTTGAAGGGAAAAGAACCAAGTAGCGGTCTCTATGGTCTGGACAAATAGCTACAGAGCCCATATGTAAAATTTCTCCAAGAGAAGATAAGTCCTCTCCCTCCCAACCTCGGACACCACCTGTTAGTACTTCCAGCTCCAACTCCTTCTGCCGACGTGTGGCAGAACATGAAGACTATAAAAATCAGTACAAAACCAGTCACATCATTTCACTGTATGCCAGCAATTATTATGAACACTAATCACAGTAAAGCAATTAACTTTTCTCTTTGTTAATGTACACAGACATGAGAAAAATGTGCTAATGGAAAATCTGTTTTCTGAAGGAATATAAGACTGTTAATAACAGACACTGAGAATCTGAAATACACATTCTTTTTTTGATTAAATATTACACATTGACCTCCATGGGATTTTTTTCAGGCATAAATTTCATCCCATGACCCTCACCCTAAAGTGGCAAAAAATTAAGAAACCTTAATGTATAAACCATGTCAGAGCGAGGTTTCATGAAGATAGTCTGAGCTGTTTGAATGAAAAAGGAAAACACTCACTGCTATATCTTTGTACACACTGACTGATCTCTGAGTGTCACCCCTGTCAGGGTGATTCTCTTCAACATGTCGTTCCAATTCTTGAAGCATCCCTGCATACTTTTCTAGGCGACGAAATGGTTTACTCAGACCTGTCGTCAGAACAAGAAGACCTGGGCTTGCAGCACCTTGTGATTCCATAAAATCATTCAATTCTACCCTGAAACAAAAAGATTCCATTTGAAGAATTGGAAAGGTAGTGGCAAAGCAATTAATACAGACTACATGCAGAATTTTAATGGAAGTATTTATTGTAATGCCAGGTGTAAAGTTATACAATCCAAATTATGTGTTTTATCAGAGTACCTTAATTTTAGTAACTGTCATATCATTTTAATTACATAAAGAACTCCTAATTCACAAAACATAATTATCTGTCATCAGTCTGATTTATGCCAAAAAGAAAACACTCACTATCTGTAGTACAAGGTAATGTTTGGAATCAATGCTAGGTATAGTTTCAAAGAGATCATGCACTGAATGACACTTTTTAAAGTTGAAATCAGTGACAAAAATTGGTATTAATTAGACAATTACATTTCATATATACTCACTTATATTTATCAAGAATACAGACTGCCTTAGGATGAGAGGCACAATAAGCTTGGTGAACCTGCTTAATGTGAGGGGCAGAAGTGAGGAACACTTTCCCCACACGTTGCTCCACAACTGGCCTCTGGTTACACTCCTCCAAGGTAGACAGCAACTGCTGATGAATCTCCACAACATTGCCAATGTTTCCCACAAGCTGACGATACTCTTCTCTTGTCAAACTGAGGAGCACATAAAACAAAGTTAAAATGCAATATAATATGAATTGATCCTATCTACTTTAAATTTTAGAACACTTTATTCCAGACGACGACATCTCGATGCGTTATTTCTTGTTAATGTCTTTAAGGGCAAAATAAATTGCCATTCCATTATGGAAGCTGTTGGTTAACGTGTGCCGGCGAGGCAAATAAGAGAATTTTCTACTTTTAGTGTGAGCAGTGCACTAAGACATAGTCCTTCAGCCAGGTGCATCATCGCTGCAAATGACGTATGTAAATCTTTGGACGTATTTGGCATAAACATTGTCTCCCTTGAGCGCACGTTCTCAACAAGGGAAATGATCTAGATAGGTTATCTTGATAGATGATCTAGCTTCATTATCTGTTTTTTATATTTCTTTAACATTTTACAATTATATTAGTGTTCCCTAGGTGGATTATTTGTTTTTATTTATATTTCTTCATTTATTTTGCTTTGTGTTAATATTGTTTCTATTTTGGGTTTGCCTGTACTTGGCAGTTATATGTAATACTGTACTGTATAAGTTTAGTTAATCTGTTTGTGTACTATTTTTCATTATTATTTCATTATTATTATATGTATTATCAGTGTTTGCCTGTTATTGGCTTCTTGCTGTTGGCAAACACGTAAATAAATTAATTGAATTGAATATTCATATGCCCATCACAGTCTACACCATGTAGCTAATGTCTTCAACCTATTGCAACTGTACTGTCATCACATAAGTAACTATTATAATAGTTTGAAAATGACTGTTACAGTATCACAGACTGGACCTGATATTACTTATTCAGTCAAAGAATGAATAACATTTCATTATGAAGGTGGGGTTGTCACAAAACCTTGCAATAAACTGCACAATTATATCCAAAGCTGAAAACTATGGTGGCCACTAGTAGCAGCAAGAGATCAGTTGTGCTGCCAAAGCAGCAATTAGCTGACAATTTAGATGCAAGTGATTAAGAATAAATGTTATTAGTGGCATTGAAAATTCTGTAACTGATGATGATGGTAGAGAGTGGTGTCAGTGACAGATTGTCAATGGGAAAAACATGTAAATTCTTCTAAGAAAAATGTTTTCACTAGAAGATTTGGGTTGCAGGGTACTGGAAATAATACAAATTTAAATCTTGGCAATTTTTGAAGAACACATTCTCAAATTAAGAATTTTAGGAGATACAGAAATACCCAACAAATAAGAACTCCAAGGATAGGCACCATCTCCCCATAATGTATTAATATTTTCAAAGAATGTATGATGTATGAAAACCTAATCTGAGCAAGTGTTTTTATTAGAGCTTTTATAAGAAAAAACTGTATCATATGTTCAGCTGAGAGTTCATCCAAATAATTCAGTTAAAACATAGCAGATGTTCGTTCAAATTTTTACTTCATATAAACAGAATATATTTGCTGCAGTTACACAAGATAATACTAACCTCACCTTACAATAAATATATATACACTTAATTTCTAGTAGCACTGCACCAAGAAGCTTGAACTGATTGCAAAATAATGGTTTGCCCAACTATAAGCCAAAATCTAAAATAAACCCTGAATGATGCTACTGTTGCTTACATCTACAAAAGTATGTATGAAGAACATTTTGGAATAAATAAAGGTAAAAGCATAAACATACAGAATCACTGTAACATTTGATGTCATGTACATCTACTAAGTTTCATTAAAGTCATACATACATACATACATCTTTATTACATTCCATGGATCCATAAGTTAAGTCAGATGACAATAGGATGTAGAATAAGTCATAATAATACAATACATGTTATACAAATACAAGTCATACTATTATATAAATGTCACAAATACAAAGTGTTCACATAAAGTAGAGATAAGTTACAAATAAACCCACCCATTATATACAATAGATAAATTATGAATTACTTGTAAACATTAGAAATTCATCGACAGAGTAAAAGGAGTGTGTAATTAAGTATCTTTTTAATGCTAGTTTAAATTGTGCCTTTTTATTTACAAGACTTGTGAGATTTGATGGTAGACTGTTGAAAATTTTGATCCCTGCATAATATGCACTCTTCTGAAAACATGAGAGGTTGGCAATTGGTCTATGAAGCTGATTTTTATTCCTTGTGTTGACACTGTGTATAGCAGAATTAGTTTGAAAATGTTCTTGGTTATTTACAATAAAGTTCATTAATG